CTCCTTATCTCAGAAAAGGATTCATTCCAAAAGAGAAGGGGTTACAAGCGTTTTTCCAACATTTCACTGGAACAATGGTGTCTCCCCATCAAATTCAAAAACCACAGAGAACAACAGAAAAAGATGTGTGGATTTAATTCCCCCTCCAACCCCTCAAGAAAAAAAAGAAAAAAGATGTGTGGTCAGTGATCACGGTTTTCGGACCTCCTTATTTCAGCGAAGAACTTATTCCTTTAGAGAGAGACGGCATTGTCCCTACGGCTGCCACCTTTGTTGTGAATCATCCCTCGTCGTATCTACCCGAGATACTTGACTACATTTCCATTTCTTTTTTCAGTACTCCGTGGTTTTCAGAGAACCAGATGCCTACGTTCTTTTATTTTTTTGTCCTCCGTGGTTTTCAGGCTTGATGGGGAATATGCCATTGTTTCAATTAGGGATGTCGCGAACCACCCTAGGTTCCATTTCGAAAGGTTTCGATATTTGCGAAGCGAGCTAAGGTTCGATTTCGAAAATTTTCGATATTTTCGTACCGACCGAGGTTCGATTTCGAAAAATTCGCAACTTTTGTCCACAGCGGAGTTTCGAATTCGAAAATTTCGAAGCTTTCACGGTTTCTAAAATTTCTAATTCGAATATTTCGAATATTTTTTTACTTCAGGTTCGATAAATTCGAAGATTTCGAAATTCTTTGTAAAAAAAATTCGAAAACTTCGAACGCTTCGAATTTTTATAGACATGAAGTTCGAACGATTCGAATATTTCGAATTTCTTTTGGCTTAAAGTTCGAAAAGTTCGAAAGTTTCGATTCTTCTTTAACGCTACATTCAAAAAAAAGAAAAAAAACTTCGAAGATTTTGAATTTTTTTTTAATCCAAGTTTTCAAAGTTTGAAGTCCGATTTTTAAGTTTTTCTACAGTTTCAGTTTCGAATAACGTTTTCGCGACTCGCTTGTTTTCACAAAATCAAGTTTAGAAAAGTTAGGGTGTGATACCTAGATTCTGCGAAGTTGGTAAGGCAATTAAATGAGACGACGAGTGTCCCGGACGTGCTAGAATATTTGCCAGTGCAGAATTGTGACCGCCAGCCCCCCCGGGGGGGGTCTTTATCACGCAGTAGTGATTGCAAGAAAACACTGTTTTACGAGACTCATCCAGTTCGAAACGGCCAGGGGCGAGCAGGAGGTTGAGGCTCAGAAAAACCTTGAAGCGACCTGGCAAACTAGCTCGCCACCCCTTGCACGCTGGTAGTAATCCGATCCGGTGAAGTTTATAATTGTCCTGGAGGTTTATTTTCTGGGACGGAGGAATCGCCTCGCAAAAAGCACAAAAGCCGACACAACTCGAGGTCGAGGAGCGTTCTACCATACAAGTGGCGTCGGAAGAGGAAAAACGGGGGGAAAGAGGGTAGCGGGGGGGGGGGGGGGGGGGCGGCTTTAGCCTCCTTTTTTCCTTTGCAGGTATTTCGGACTGTTAAAGAAAACAATACGGGGAAAGAGGGCGTGGTCGAGCTTATTTTAATCTGAAATTATTTATGCATATCTGTCGCTCTTCACTACATAAAAGGTTGCGTAGATGGTCACTGTTAGAAACTCGTTGTCAGAAGGCACTGCTCGTCACATGCTTAGTGGTTCGGAAGTTCAAAGCTGTCTTTTCGACCTAAACACCTGTGCCGATAGTAACAAAAGAAAAAAAAAAAAGAATAAATGCGGGAATAAAAAGCAGGAGAAAAAAAAAACTATCAAGAATTCGTCGGAAGTGTTCTATTCGTGCATATTCAGAGGTTCAGAACTTCGAAACAAGTTTCTTTTACCAAAATGTGTACAGGCTAAAAGAAACACGTCCCAGGAACGTGAAGCGAAAAAAAAAAAAAGTTTTCTTTCAATGACGTGCTGAACTTGAACACTACTAGAAATCTTCTGCAATGAGTTAATTTATTCCTTAACGTGAAAAAACAATAAATATATTATTTTGTATTCTGCAGATGGCAATGATATGTACTGTCTGTGGTGCTAATTTAAATGCGATACCTCAAACAACTTAGACGAAAATAAATATCAAGTTTAGGTCATAATTGCATGCAGATACATGTTTGGACATTTCTTCGAAACTCACGTTGAATAACAATAATCACATCTTAAGACGGCACTTACCTGTAGCTATACATAGATCATTCTTAAAAGAGTATAACATATCTACCATAAATAGCTCCGGCTGCAGCGTGCTTCAAATCTGGCACAAACGATAATCGTCAAAAACCCGTCGTCCGTCCTCGCCCCTTCGGGGATTTCTTTCTTTAAACCTAAGCATGCCAGAACATTGAAATAAATGACATTGTCTTTCGTAAGGAACGCAGCACCGCGTGTAAAAGTTCGAGAAAAAAAAATTACGAATGTACCCCACTCCTTGAAATCAAATGAAACCGGCCGCCGGTCTTTCGAAGTTCGACGAACGTCGAACTTTTACCCTAAAAGTTCGAAGTTCGTCGAACTTCTGACTTTTCAGAATTCGAAAGTTTGAAACTTTTCGAATTTTCTTGATAAATAAATTCGAAAGTTCGAAATTCATCGAATTTTTTGGTCAGTCAAGTTCGAAAGTTCGACAAGCATCGAACCTTGCAGCGCAATAAGTTCGAAAGTTCGAAAAAGATAGAATTTTTTAGCGTAATAAGTTCGACGGTTCGAAAAGCGTCGAACTTCTTAGCTTAACAAGTTCGAAAATTCGACCTCCGTCGAATTTTACGATATAGACAATTCGAAAAATCGAAATCTTTCGAACCTTTCGAACCGCTTGATTCGATCATCGAAACTTCGATTCGAAAAAAGTTCGCGGCATCCCTAGTTTCAATAAGCTGTCGGAAAAGCATTTGCCGAGATAAGGAGGACGAAACTTGAGTACACCATTCTTTTTTTTTACACCAATTTACACCAAACACAGAACTTCAAAGCTCTCCCGCCAACAATCTCTTTTTAGAGCGCAACTCTTAGGCACCCGTTTCCGAATTTCGCGGCATCGGCGTAACCGCGCTAAATTTAGAGGAAAAATTGTAGTCACGTGACCTCAGCACCAATTCAATTTCCCGCTAAACGCCGTGGGAAAATGACGTCACGTGACTTTAACGCCATTCAATCCCCCCTAAATTTATGTCACGTGACCTCAACACCAATTCAGTTTCCCCGCTAAATTTAGCTTTGGACCGACATTTTATTTAATGTAACTCGTAAATAGTGAGATGTCTATTCAAGCAGCAAATTCTAGCATGTATTGAAACTGAAACAAAATGGGCAAATTACCTGGGTTTATTATATTCACAACGTCTGTGATGTGGCTTAAATGGAAACTTATTGAACATTTTGATAATAAAAGAGTTGCAGTGTCCCGTGCATAACAAATGTACTACATTATTACGTTGTTTCATAATTTTACATTAGGCAACGGAGGGCCACATCAGCTGTTTACCGAACATGGAAAAATGTGTAGCAGCTTCTGTGTTGCAAACAATGAAGATGAAATCTGCCACTTTTAGGGATACTGCCAGAACAGCAATCGCTGGGTGAGATATAATGCGAGGTTACCTCTCTGGACCAGAACATCATGACTTTAGTACTTTTTTAAATCACTGTATCTCCTAAATCAGCATTTGTATGGCCAAACAAGCATGTGAGGCAGTGAATTGAAGCTTGCTTTGAAGAAGAAAAACCGCAGTTTCACAGCAGGGAACTGTTATATGTTATAAATTACTTTCTTTGTGTCCAACCCAAGCACCGACCGCAATGAACTGTCCGAGATGCTGCGAGTTTCTTTGGAAATTGTCTCTATGTGCTTTATTTAGTAATAAATAATGTGTATAATGTGTTTTCTAGAGTGCGCCAATATACCTTTGCTTTTACCATATGAGCCCCAATAAACCCCGATTCGTGGGTTTATCGGGGCTCTTACGGTAAAAATCCCTAATTGTGGGTTGGCGTCTATTTGTGGTATCACAAAGAGACACCGAAAAACACCGAATTTGTACAAAAATAACGATAAAGAAAAAACACCCCCCAAAGTGAAAAAAAAAAACTACCGGAAACAAGGAACCCTAGTTATAAACTAAAGTCAACGAATTAACAATGAATCGCAAGGAAGCGACAAGGGATTAAACTCCATTGGCATGAAGTGGGAAGGTTTTACATTATAGGTAACAATATATACAATATAACAACACCAAAAATCAGCAGGCACTTACTCCCGTGCTGTATTGATGCTGTGCTGTTCTGGCAATTGCTCTTCTGTCGCTGTGCTGTTTTGACGCCGTGCTGTTTCGACGCCGTGCTGTTTTGTTGCATGCTCTTTAGCCGTGTGCTGTTCTGTCATGGTGCCATTGAAGTCAAACCAAATAAGCTAAAAGCATCTTACTTTGAGCACTTTTTGTTCACAAACAAATGTGCAAGCTGTTTGTGAAGAAAATGGCACCAGATGTTAAGAATTTGCAGAAAGCTACTGCAACAGTCAAGCCGAGCTTGAGCAACAAGTTTGTGTTTTGAGCAAACAGAGAACTAACCTTTGATGCAAAGTGGGTGCCATTACTCGTACAATTATAGCAACAGCACCATTTGAAACACCATGACACAACTGACAAGGCGATTTCATTTCCGCACAACAGGTTAGTTCCTTCAATGTACAAGAGCCCTTCATTCTTCTCGGTATCACCAGAGCTGCACAGTTACCTGTGACTTCAGTGGGAATGGAAGGAAAGACTTGCAACTATCGCTGAATCATTGTTTATGGCGAGGGAACGTTACCAGTTGAGAAAGCTTGGTATACAGCGCTGTCAAGCAAGCACGTAAGGGAAGACTTACATCAATCACTTAATCATGGTTTCGGGTGAAGAAATTTTACCGGACAAGAGCATGCCACACGAAGCGGAGCGGTTTTTGCCAACATTTCGCTTGTGCGATTGTTGACGGTGCGAGCACAACCGGTCAAGATTGGGGCCAAGAAACGAGGGCGGGCACTCACCGGGAGTCTCTACCCGCTGGTAGTGGTAGGGGTTGATGCAGACTTCGTCCTTCTTGAGGTTGAATGCATACTGGCAGTTGTCGGTGGCCCTCAGCTCGTGGTGGCTCTGCAGGTCCGGCCAGCGCCACAGCCGGCAGTAGATGACGTGGGGCAACCCCTTGCGGTGAGACACCTGAAGGCGTCCGTCCAGGGACCTGCCGCCGCACCCGCTGACCCCACTTAGCATCAATGCCCCTGCCTCTTGCCCCCCGCACACGCCACAGCACGCCACAGCAGCATACACGGGCATGCACCGGCAACAGACCACCAGACAAAGGGAGACACTTGCGGCACACACCAGCGAGGCCACTCCTTGCAGAGGAAGCAGCGCAAGTGCCACTGTGGCAGCACCTTTTGGCAACCATCTCTTCAGCATGACCTACCCTGGTGGGCAAGCCTTTTTTCCCCCCCAACATAATCGGTACCCAAATCCAGACGCTGGTCATTTAAAGATCAGAATAATGGACCAGACTTTCTTTAAACAAAAGGAATGTTTTACATAAATTCTAAACTAGGCCAATGTGCATGCCGATTCATGCATGTTTGTTGCATGAAAGAAACGAGATATGATACAACTCCGAAGATTGTTGAAGGCGACTTAGGACGAAGGTTTGATTCAACTCTGACCATGAGGTTCTGTGCAACACGTTTAATTTGACCTGGAGAAGTCCCGTACCAGCGTGTGGTTGTGTGTCCCTACTGCATCATAAACGTTAAAGACACAGGCTAGCAGTTGTGCCGCACTGGCAACAAAAGCTGACAGCTGTCTCAACACTCGCATCTAACCTTCCTTGCCCAAAATTGGCAATCAGACTCCTGTTTGTGCGGCACATTAAATCCGAGTGGATTGATTGACTGCAATGCCACAAACACTGCCAAAGCCACAGAGCAACAAGAACATTAGCTATTGCAGTAAAGACGTACAGGAATGAAAAGTATCCAGAGACATATGAAGGGTTCATTCCCAAAGGAACATAAACAGATGGAATATTGTGACTTCTGAGGTTTTTATAGGTGCTTAGGAATGCTTGTTAAGCTTCCAAAACCTCCCTGGTTTAACTGGGCTCACTCAAACTTCCTGACATTTGAAGGCTTTCTCTGTTCTCTGTTAATTGGGTTGTGCCTGGAAACAAAGATGCCCCCTTTACGTGTATGTGTCATGATGAAACGCAGGCAAAGAGAGGCGAGCCAATACTATACCCCGTTTTCACCTAAAAAAAAAAAATGTTTTCTGCAATGTTCATACGTGGCGCGAAGTAGATACGAGATTTGGTTATCGTAGAAAAAAGCAATGCTTTTGGCATTTGGAACGTGCAAGTGTTGATAACACACCTAATCTAAAAATTCCCCTGCATAATCTTAATTATCTTCATAAAGAGGGGAATCAGTAATGCCCCGCGAGGAGCCAGACTCGTTTTGCTATGGTTCTTGATGTGAAAACGGGTATAGCTCAAACTTATCGAAGTTATGCTGATGTTTAAGCAGCCCTTGACTGGCAGTAAAATTGTTGGAAACATAATTGCGAAATCCCAAACGTCTTTGGCTACAACCCCTTCTCAAAACATGCCAACTGTCATCAACAAATGCCCTCTCAATAAAAACAAATAATAAAAAACACAACTTTATGAATTTTCTAACAAATGTGCCTGAGCAAAACATTTGCGACTGAGAGAAAGCCCTCAGAACAACCATTTTGACTGCCATTAGTATAACACTGTCTTCATAATACATGAAACAAGTTTATTTAAAGAATATCAGGTGAGGGGGGAATATGTAAAATTGCATGGAAAGCTGTTGCATGCTATTGTAGCAGCTGGCAATATCATAGGGGTAATTCAGTGAAGCAAATGCTTGCCCACTGGACAGGAGGGAGATGTGCATGTCTATCAGTCACAAGAAGTTGCTTCCAGGCTCCAGGTACTCCAGATCAGAGCCGTATATGGGGAGAGTTTGGTCAGTCTATGATCTCGCCGCCGAAAGGCTCTCCTCCCGAGTGAGCCAATCAGCACGCGGCGCAGAGCGAGAGGCATGAGCGCATGCGCGTGAACTCCCCGCTGGTCCCAGCTGAGTGAGGAGGGCCGCCATCTTCGAATTCTCCCGGCGGAATGCGTGGGATCGGCATCTAAATCTCGATTATTGCCTTTTATATCGCTGCTTTGGCAAGAAAATGACATTTTGTTATTCCTCCGTGGGTTAAAAAGCTAATAAATGAATATTTTTCGGCGTATGGCCACAAACTTTTATTCAGGCGAAAAAGAAGTCGGCCCATAGCAGGCGACGCGTAGCCTCAGCAGTGCTCTTCTCCGACCAGTCTCCGACAGCGTTGCTAAAAAATAACAGTCGTCTCCTCTCTGCTCCCTTGTTTCTCTCTCGCTCCCTCGGCGCTCTCATCCCTTTCATATACTTTTCTCCTCTTTGGCACCTTCGTCGCCACACCCACTGGCCAAACTCTCCCAATATACGGCTCTGCTCCAGATAAGCAAGTGTATAGGATGAGTGTCTAGAATTTCCCTTCTGCATAATTTGCTTAAGGGCTCCCAAAGTAATCAATGGCATTCCAGACATATTACAAGTTACTGTCATTTACCAGCCCGTTTGGGGGGGGGGGGGCGAAAGAATGAAACATGCATTCCTTCAGACACCGCCTTATAGCAGACAGAATGGAAAAGCAGCGAACAGACCACACAAAAATACACGACACCAACACATTTTTTTCTTCTAGCTCGTTCTCTTGTAATTGTGTGTTAGGGCAAGCATCTTTTGTTGCAGAAAACCTAAAGCTGGAGCAACAAAATAAACTTGTTAAAGCACCCAGAGAGTGCATTAAAACTAATAAAAAAAAACACTTCCGTGAAGAAGGAAGACCAGCGGAGCTGTACTCGATACACTGTGTGCTTCTTCGTTGTCGTCCGTTTTTTGCGCTGTTTCCTACGATGAATTCCCACCAACGCGCCCAACTATTCATTCTACTATTACAGCTGAAAAGGTTGCCACCATCTACGAGCGACGGCGGAAATTATACTGGTTGTGTGCTTGCCGCCGTTGCTTATAGATGGCGGTAGCTGTCCAGGTGGGTTTCTGTCGACACACGCGGACACGATCCTGGGGAACCTAGCCCTTAACAGCTCCGCTGTAAAACAAGATCGCTTCAATACAGCAAATTTCTAGGGCTGGGCAGTTGATTGATTAAATGTATCAATTAATGCGTTAATCACAATTAATATTTTTAACCGGTAAAATTTTGACGAATAAAAGGAAGTAAAAATCCAACACTTCCACCACGCAGACGCGGACGAGTACACGTCATGAAGGGCAAACTTTAAGGGAAATTTTACCCTAAAGTAAACTGTAAGGACGATGTTTGTAACTCAAGACAATTACAGAAGGTTAAACGTGTTCCAGCCACTTCAATGCCGTTGAAGTGTCCGTTTAGCGCAGCAGAGACTATTGTAAAATACCAAGGGAGCTCGTTCTTGCCGAAGAAGAAAAACAAACATCTTTGCCTCATGCAGTTGAAGTAATAAAGTAAAAGAGTGAGTGGGTGCCTTTAAACCGTTCTCAACTGCACATCACGGTTTATTAGAAATCAAAATTTCATATTGCGCCACTTGTTACATATTTATCAAAGATAAAAAAAAAAAAGTATATATAGAGAGGGAGAGAAATAGAGAGAATTTGATCCGGTTAATGTTTTTAATCAACGCCCAGCCCTACAATACGCGCAAAACATGTTTGTTAAAAAAAAAAAAAACGCTTTAACTACGCTTGCACAGCCTTCCCTCGCATGAAACTACGAATCCCTTTGCGACAAGCTCTTCACTAGTCACAGAGAGGGCGAAATGTAACATTTCTCCGGAGATCGGCACGGCTCAAGGGGGTCGCTTTTATCCGCGTTGGCAGTAATGCAAACCGCAGAAACAAGATTCCCGCGGCGCAATCTCGGCAAACAGACCTCCAATGCACGACGACAGCCACTCCGACGCCCACTTCGACAAAAAAGGAAAGAAAAACAAGAAAAAGAGAGAGAGAGAAAAGCACCGGTCAACAAGGGGGCGTCAATTATCCTGTCAAGGTAGGCTCACGTCAAGCGATCGCTGCTCAGCGCGCAAACACGCGACGCCGGCACGCCGCTACAAATGTAGCATGCGACGCCCAACCCCGCGGCAGCAGCGACCCGTTCGTTGATCGAGCACGGAGCAGTAGAAAGACCAAGCAAGAGTGGGGGCGGGGAGAACTTCCCGGGGGCCGTCAAATCGAAAGGCGCTGCACGAGAAAGCTCGCAGCGAGGAATGCAAACTTTTGACAGGAAAATTGGGTGGCGGAGACGGGTCCTGGGGAAGCCCGCGGTGTCGGTAGACACCCAACGGCCCTGCGAGACGCTAAGCAGACGGCGGGGGAGGGAGCATTGCTCCCTTCCCCGGCGGCTGCTGCTGTCGGCCGGATCGCTTTAGGCCTAACCAAACGACGCGGTGCCAACACCACCTCCGCGAGGAACCCCGAGGAACCGCGACCGACCGACACCGGTTCGTGTCTCCAGCGGCGCGACGTCCGGGTGAACGTCGGACGGCCGTGCGGGCGCCCGGCGTACGCGTCGATCGTCCGTTCGCGCCCTACGCCCGACAAATCTGCGCGCGGTCAACTCTATACATTGTCTTTTTTTGCCTGTCCAGTGTTGTCTCAAACCCTCCTTCGCCTCTCAAACAGAACGCCGAGTGTAAAACAAGGAATCAACGCAGGGCTGCTACCCCCCCCCCCCCCCCCCCTCCACTTTTCGCGCAATCACTTGTTGATTTCGGATCCCCCGCGATCATTCACTCGCCTTTTTGTATGTTTCCGGGGGCGAAGCCAAGGCCGGCGACGTCCTCTCCGAAAGGCCACGACGAAATTTCGCGCAAACTCGAGAGATGCAAGCACACGGGGTGGCTGCTCCACTACGCTCTACCCCGCTCTGCTCGCCGCAGAACGAAAACCCGAAAGGAGAGAGCAAAGGCTTACCGCAAAGGCTTACCGCTGCCGCCGTCGGCACCGCCAGCCGAATCGTTCGAGAAACGCGTTCGCGCCGCGTGTCAACCGCCGACGAGGCCAGTGTCGGCCCAGTATCACGAGTTTCCGACGATCCAACACGCTACACCGACGTTCGAACGCGCCCGGACTTCCTTCCGAGACGGACACACACACGCCAGGCGAGGGGAGCTCGCGGAGTTAGGCTTGACTGCAACACAAAGCCCGGGGCATGTGCTGCTCCTGCTTTCTAGCGTCGCCGCAGCAGCCCGCCACCGTACGCGGAGAGCTGTTTCGGAGAGGGGGCAGGGGGGGCAACAACACACACCGCTAACGTCCTGCCTGAATTCCTCATTACCGATGACCGATAATCAGGTCAACGGCACTCTGAAAACTATATTGCTCTGTTTCTTTTTCTTTTCCAAACGTGTCAATGACTCGTTTCCTGCTCACGATGAAGCCAACAACGCCGCAAGCCTGACGACGCCTCTGTAAATATGGAGGGAACGCGTTCGTCGTTTTAGAAAAATAATAAATATCAATGAAACAAATGGAATTAAAATCGGATGTTTGACTAGCCAGCGTATCTTCTGCCTCTGCGCATAGATAAGGAGAGTTATTGTCGAGGCAAGTGGCGTCGAGTGGCGAACGTCCGACGAGCGCAAACGAGGTCCCCCTATGTTCGTTTACCCATAACTCTGCCTTATCAGCGGCTCTCGGAAGATAAGCAGCGCTATCTCCGAATGGTGTAGGGCTTCCTAGCGGCGCCTGTTGCTTTTTCACGTCCACGCCAGCAATAAGCGAAACTTTTGTTTATGCAAAACTCGCGCCTCCGGAGATCTCTCCCAAGACGACGAACACTTTCTCGGGATTAGCAGTAATCGGACTAAATCCCCCGACGTCAAGGAAGCTGCCCTTGTCAGCCTAGAAAAAGAATACGCGCTATGTGGCTCTCCAGAGCCAAAAAATAAAGACTATGTGCACGCACGCACCCCGAAACGCCCAAAGCCAGCGATTTTGTCGGTGGCGCATTCAAGGTACTACAAACCTGGGGATAGTGATGCACTTGGTGTGGACGTCCTGCGTCGAAATGGATTTTTCCAGTTCGTCTATTCCACCGGACTTCTTGAGTTTTTTCACCAGACTTTTGACGGCTTTCTCGCTCCATTTGTCCTCGCCCTCGCCTTTCTTCCAGCCCAACAGCCGCTTCACGACCGGA